CAGAACACATCTGACTACATATCTGTCTGAATGGCGCATTCAGGTTTGTTGTTTCATTTGCTGTCTGCATTTGCATATTAGCGCAGTTGGCTGAAGTCCTCTTGTCTGGCAGTACTTTATTCCTTTCCCAGAATGTATATCCATCATTATTTTTCGTTTTTATTTCGAATATGTGCCTGTGTTTGTCCACTTCTTTCGGATCAGATGACATGCAATTTTATGAAAAAGCAATGGCCCTATAAAAACCAAATCGACCACCACATACAGGCGTTGGATGTTCAGTGATTCCAAATAAATTACTAAAAACTTATGCATTTGCGGCATTCATTGACTAAGATCATACCTAGAAAACCAAAGGGTTTACTTATTACTAATAATTCCCAATTTCCATTGAAAAACCCTGCATTGAATTTGCTTGAGTTTTTCTCTCCTACATCTTTCCGTTCATTCTCGTTGGTTGAACTTGCCCTGAATACCTGTCCTGATGTAAAATATCACCCGGCGGTTAACTTGACTTGGTGTATTCTTTGAAATTTTCTTATTGTTTATTTTTTTAATTGTCCCGCTTAGTTTTGGTTGTTAGATGTCTGTGTATTAAACGTTTTGCTTCACAAAACAAAATACCTCCCATGCTTTCCTTATTTTTTGCATTTTACATTCCATCCATATACTTCACTCGTCAAATCCCCATTACCCTTTTCCCTCAAGACAGGTGCTCGTAGATAGTCGCTGATACGCCTCAGCCTATCGTTCTCGTCTTTTACAGTCATATAAGACAGAGCACGCGGAACGAGGAGTCTTTCCCAATACTGCCAAGTGCCGAGGGAACGAGGATAAGGCTGAACATCTTTTGAACTTCTTGCGGTCCGTCCTGAGGAGAGAACCCGACTTTTTCCACCCACTTGTGAAGACGAATAAACTCTTATTATTGAGACGGAGCGATTCACCGAGCCAATCATTCAAGAAGAGTTGTTAAACATGACCATACTACTAGCAGTCGGTTAGTAGGTACTCATGATTATCATTTTTTCTACCACCAAATAGCTGCTTGCTTTTGCATGCACTTACGTAATATTTTAAATTTTCGACATATCGACGCGTTTTCTTAGGCAGTCTGTAACCATTAGGCGTTTGCCCATCTTTTCGTCAGCAAAACCGAATGTAACTGAATTGGTGTGATTGCCTACCTGGAATTTCCCCAGCTTACCCATGGAAACATCGACTAAAAGTTTTACAAGAGGCGAGCCCATAGCAGCTCCGTTTATTTGTGTGTGGATTTGGTTGTCAACATGAATTGCGCACGCCAAATGCATCTTACCAACAACTCCTTGAGCGTGTCCGTCGGAATCCTTGTTTTCTGCTAATTGGTTTAGAGGAATTCGCAGATGTGGACTTTTGCGAAAAGTGACGATTCGTCCAGCGAGCTCATCCCTATACCGTTTAGTTTAAAATCTCTGGCATCACCATTGAATTTGAGGGCATCTCAATAGCTAAGCGGTGCTAGCTGATGCTGTACAGGCTTGAATGTCTCTGCTAACCATTTCGCTATCGCATTATACAGAGAGTTTAACATGTCTAAAATCGGACGAAACGGCAGGTCATCCTTATAGATCATAGGTAAACAACGCAGCCAATGGATATGTTTACCGACTTGTTCGAAGTGTTTTAGCTACCTTCTTATACAGTCGGTCGGTTTTGCCTCTGATTCATCCTCAAGGTTTTCTGCTCTGTCTACTTTCCTGAATTTATTCTGGTCTAACAATATGAACCGTATCTTCGCTACGTAGTCCGATCTGTTCTTTAGAACGACGTCTATTGCTTTATCTGGCCTAGTTACAAATATATCTTTATTCTCCTTAACTTATCTACGTATGCTTTTGTCAATAACCCCCGACATTTTGGCACCTTCTTCGGGTACTGAAAAAAACAATTCCCCAGTGCTAAGTTAAAGTGTTAAATAAGGTCTTCGAAAGCGGGCACTAGATCGTAGGTTTGTTTCCAGAGGTTCTCGAACTGAGTTTTTAATTCTAAGTAATTAATTTTTCGACCAGACATCCAAGACATAAGGCCAAGGGATAATGCTTAAGGCGACGTTTTGTCATGCGTCATGTAAGAATGGTTGTGTGCGTACCGACCTGGATCGTATGGAAGTCGTGATTGTCGTTTCATTTCGTGAACATTTTTAGGAGGCTCAAAACACTTTGCCTCACTGTGTTTCCTACCTAAAGACTGAATATAGTCGACAAATTCATGTCTTTCATCCTCTGTTAGAGTGTCAAGGACGGCTTCTCGTTGACACACGTGACACACGTACGTTCCTGGCGTACTTTTCGGTTGATTCTCAACGTATTTTTTCGAATTTTCGGTGGTTAGAGATTTACAACTATGCTGCAGCAATCGCCAGTATTTGTTTGGAAATAGTGCAAAGTGCAGAAGAAATTGTTCGGCAGTCAGCATCGAGTCGGAGCTTAAACAGATTCAGGACTTGATTTGCAAAAGCGGGTATTCTGACAGGTATACTGCAAAGAGCATTGTAGACCTACCGGTAAAACCCACCATACTGACTGACGAAAAGAAAACTCTGTTCCCCAGAGTCCCTTTCCGAGGGGACGCTGCGGGTGAATTTTTAAGAATATGCCTTGATAAATCAGCCTCACGAGACTTCCAAACAGCAGGGGTTCCAATGGTATTCACCACTAATCGTATCTTATTCGGAGGAGGAAAGGATAGGTTGTCATCTCAGACCATCTCAGTGTGCATCTACTCCTCCACTTGCTGCTGTGGAGCAGGCTCTACTGGCTGTAGGAGTCGGCGCTTATCCAAAAGAATCCGAGAACACCTCCAGGTAGGGCTGAAAAAAGGCGAAACTAGGAGCATCAACAGCGCCATTATCGAACACATTGTTGATTCCGGACAAGGTATAGATTCCAACGAAACC